GAAAGGACGCCCACCCAGACAAGGTAAGCAGCCCCACCCCGACATTAGTACTTTGTAGGGAAAGAGGATTAAATTAAATTAAATATTTCTGACTAGCAATCTGATTTAAGTTTTTAAAGCACTTCTTTTTAAAGTGCTCCCTGTATAACAACGGTAACAAGTAGGGAAGGTAAAGGTTTGATATGAAATGTTAATGATACCCAGGAATCAAGAAGAGACAGATGTGGTGAGTGCTGTGAATTGTGTAAGACTGATGAATCACAGACCTGTACCCTTGAAACAAATAACACATAAGCAAAAAAAAAAAAAAAAAGAGGCAGAGATTTTTGTTTCCAGCACTGATGGTCTAGGTTGTATACATTTCCTTCCATGCAGACAAGTAAGGAATTCAAGTTACAATATAACATAATCTAATTAGAAACACCAAAAGCTGACAAGAGAAAAAGAAACTACCAGGTTAAAATCTGCAAGGAAGTAGGGACCTAAGAGGTAAGCAAGCAGGGAGGCACTTCTCGCCTGATAGGAGCAGGTGTGAACAATTTCGATAGCCTCACGGGGAGCTGAAAGAGAAATCGAAGCCCAGAACATACCCACGTGGGAAGAATAAAAAAGCCCATGTCAAGTTAAGCTGAAGCTCGTAAGAGTCATCCCCCACACAAAAGAGTGCATCCAAATAAACCCACCTCCCACACGGACAGACTGCAAGGACAATTTGCCTTGGCATTGAAAAGTATTCCTAGGGGGAGGCAGGGTAGGTGTGAGAACTTGTCTGCAAGAGCTGGCCCTTGTGTGCAAAACTGCAACTCAAATTCACATCACCTGGGTTGTCTAAAACACTTTAAGTGGTAAATTTAGGTCAAAGTGGTCCCAGACTAGGGGTGCCACCAGACACGCGGCAGAAACAAAAGCAAATTCTACCCCTAAAAAAAGCCATTCATCCTAAGCCTCAAAGAACTCCTGCAAGTCATTTTTCAGTGGTAATGACAAATACCCAGGCAAAAATAAGCAAGCACACAAGAGCAGACAGATGAAAAAGGAGAAGGGGAAATCTCAGAAAAATCTAGATCCTACAAGCACATTCATCCTTTAATGAATTCCGTGGCCATTTGTGCAACCTAGTGTGTACGAGGGTCTGTGCCAGGTTGCTGGGCATGGGTGTCATCTCAGCTGTTGTGTGAACAATTCACCAAGACTAAGCGGTGCCCGTGACTATTTACTGATAGATTTCAAGATAAACAGCCGTCTTCTAGAGGACTGATATCGACATTATTGATTCCTCTCCAGGTCCCCATTCCCTGGAAGTCCCATGTTCAAGTTTGGCCTGATGGTCCCCTAAGCAAACCACAGAGTCCGGTGCATGGACAGAAACGTGATGAAAGACAAAGCTAACTACCTCAGAGTGAACTGCACTTACCTTTAACTGTAAAAGTCCAGACAGATGAGTCTGGGATAATAACATGAACTGGACAAAGACTAATTTTAAGGCAGATCTGGAAACAGTTGAAGGCACAGGAAGGGTGGAGAGAAGTTAGTCCAATAGTGACATAGGCATAGAAGCCCTTTCTTTCTTGGCCAAGGTTGGTGGCAAGATCTTGCTGATATTTGGGTTACTCTGGTGTGTCCAAACTCACGACCAGCCTGGCTCTTCTATCCAGCTTTTCACAATGAGGGTTCATATCATCACTTCTATTCTTCTGCATCTGTTTGCTCTTATTAAATATTCCGGTGGTTCTTATTTACCCGGCTTTCAGAATGGTATGACCCGTGCTTTCTGCTCCTTGTTTGATGAACCGTTTTACACTACAGCGTAGTGTAAGAACAACAGCTACCACATACAAAGGACTTACTCGGGGCCTGGAACTGTGCGAGATACTTTTTTTAGGAGTTACTGACTCCTCACAACATTGTAAGGGCTCCCTTACCTCCATTTTACAGATGGGTACAATGCACCACAGAGGTTACATCCTGAAACAGATACCGCAGGAGCAAGAGCATGAGCTTGGAAGGCGGACAGACCTGCATCCAAATCCTGAGCTGCTCCTGGCATTCTCTTCCCCTAGAGACGAGGCTCAGTTTGGTGGGGCGCAGGCCACCGTGCGGATGAAATGAAATACAGTGTGGCCTCTAAGTAGTGCTGGTCTCTCCTTCCTTCCAATGGATACTCGTCTGAAAATTCATGTCTTGCCTTAGGGAGCACCTTCAAATAGTTTCCAAAGTAGCTAACGTTGGAAAAATAATGTGGTGTTGTACACAAAATAATAAAAGGCAAATAATCTCTTATATCTATGGATCGCTTTAAGGTTCCAATACTCCTTCCCAACTGGCTTGTTTGATCCTTTGGAAAATATTTTACTATCTCAGTTGTCTTTTTTTAGATTGGTTGTCTGTCTCTGGGACATAATAACATTGTCTGAACATAACATTGCCTTGAAAAAATACTAATCCAGGAAATGATGCAAGAAGAAAGAATCAGGCCTTTCTTTGCCTTTCTTTCTAGTCCTCTGGAAGCTGACTGCCTCCTTCCTTCTCCTGGGTGTGTGTGAGTGTAGGTGGGATGCTGGTGGCCAGAGTTGGAGGTAAGTCACAGGAGGGAGAGATGGATGTGACACATGGCTGTCTTTGCTTTTCACAGTAAGGATGCCTAGCACGGAAGGAATGTGCTACCTTCCCTTATAAAAGAACATTTCATTTTCTTCTCAAGCTCGTGAGAAAATCATCCTATAGTCTCCCATCCAGAAAGTGTGGCAAAAAAAAAAAAATCCTGGGAAAGATGTATTCATCCCGCCCAGTAGGGGCGCGACAAATATTTGCAGTTACTGCAGAGACTGTGGTGTACATTGACCATCCTCTGTGGACAATGCAGAAAATAATGGAATGATTCCTGTGAGTCTCTGAAAAAGGCCACCCAGCCTCACTTCTAGGATAGCTTCCTAGATCAGTAAGACCCACTCCTCAAATAATGATTGTCTCTGAGGCCACACGTGTGGACCTATTTTGTCGTGGACCGCCAAGGTTTCAGAATACACGTGGCGTTACCATTTAAAGCTTGGGAGATTTCAGATGCATTTAAAGCTGGCTTGCTTTACCCAGTCGCCTCTATCTGACCCTTCTGGAATTTGTGCTGGTGCGTGGATTATAATCATGTTGGCTAAATAAAAGTTCAGAGGTCCTGCTAGCTTTTTCAGGTGTTAATTTAATCCTACACAGAACACACGCACACCCCAAACAAAAAAATGTAAGGTTTAAAATGTGTAAAGAGAAAAAGCAAAGCCTCTGGCCCTCAAATTTCTCACTGTCTCTGACTGCACAGGGCCCGCGATCAGTTTGTAACCCCCTGATCTCAGACCTTCCTCACTGCCGGGCGCCTGCTGACTGGGGGCCTGAAGGGGAAGACCACCTGTCCCTTCATTACTAATGCTTGACAAAGCTCCCTATAAGAACTGGGAAGGAATTCTTGAAGCAGGCGGAGAAGAACTAAAACCCCACTGATATGCAAAGCCATCAAGTGCCACAGCAGCTTGTCACGTGAAAGATACCATTTAGAATTTTACAGAAGTTAATCAAATTAGATAGGAATAAAACACAGATGATTTTCACTTAATATTTTTAACAATCTTACAATACTGAGAGTCTCCCCACTTGAAAATCGCTCCTAAAAAAGGCAGCTGAAGTTGATGCCACCTTCGTCCTGGACCTTCCTGGCGGTCCAGTGTGGTCCCCTGAAACCACAAAGCACCCACCGCCTTTCCCTTGCTGCTCAAGCCCACACCTGCAGTCCCTGCCTTAGCCCCCTTCAGGCTCCTCCCCCCAATTCCTGGTTTGCCATCTCTCCTCCCAGCCGGCCAGGACTACACCTCAAAGACAGTTCAGTAATAAGCATTACATAATAATAGTAATAAACATGTACTGAGCACCTACTATGTGCCAAGTTCAAGTCTAATTCTATGAGAGGGGTCAACCCTTTCAGTAACCAGCATAAACAACCTGAGGCTTGCAGTGTGGTAAAGTCGAACCATCAGCAGTCAGGCTGCCGGCTGGGATCTGAGCGGGGCTTGCAGACCACCTCCGGTGTGGACCAAATGCTGTCTGCAAGGCTCCTCCCACCTGGAGTCAATGATTACTGCTGCCATTTTTTAGGATGCAAAATTAGTGGGAGCCCCTATTCGGGGCACCTGGGTGGCTCAGTCGGTTAAGCAACAGACTCTTGATCTCAGCTCAGGTCTTGATCTCAGGGTCGTGACTTGAGCCCCTCCTTGGGCTCACGTTGGGCGTGGAGACTGCTTAAAAAAAAAAAAATACCCCTATTGCTGAGAAAGGAACTTTTCTTTGACAATCTCTCTATCTCCTATAAATGGGCTAGCCCAGATTACTTCTGGATTAAACTGCGCCTCCTCAAAACAGCCGGCTCATCTTAACCCACCAAGCCGAGGAGCCCCGGGAGGACCCCGAGGTGCCGCCCGCTGCCAGCAGGGAGCTGCTGAACAAGGGGGAGGGCTAAGGGCTGCCGGCGGGGGCAACTGCTGTTCCCTCCACGAAGTCTGTCATTAACGTTCCCTTGGAGGGGGTGGCATGGACAAAAGCCAGGGAGTGCCGCCGACGTGCGCCCAGACCCGGCGGAACCGGCCTCGGCTCTCGGCCACCCACTCGAGCGGCGCGGAGATCACACGGAGGGAAAGGCGGGTCCGGGGAAGCTCTTGGGGAAGAGAGGAAATTTCCCGTCCCTGACCCCCCCCCCCCCGCCCCCGGCCCGGCCGGGACCCGCCTTGCGCGCTCTGGAGCTCCCTCCCGGGCGTGGCGACCCCGAGCGGCGCAGGTTCCCCGGGGCGCCGGCGGAGAGGGGCTGCCCCGCGAGGGCTGCCCCGGGGTCCCCCCTCCCCGCTCCCCCTCCTCCTTCCCCCCCCTCCCGGCGCCGGAGCCTCCGCGCCCGGCTGCTCGCCCGCTCCCTGGGAGGGGGACGCGGTGCCCGGGAGCGGCGGCGGGGTGGGGGCGGGCGGCCCTACCGTCTTCTGCTTCTTGATCCCCGACATGCTGGCGGACTGGACGCTGAGCGGCGGACACTCGGAGCTCGACTCCCGGGAGCGGAGGTGCGGGCACTCTGGGAGCGCGGCGGCTGCTGGGGCCCGACTCCCGGGAAGGAGGTATAAAAAGGCTCCCGCAGACACGTCGCACTTCCCTTGACCGGCCCCCTCCTCCCACTCCTCCCCCGCCGCGCTCCTCTCCGCCCCGTCGGCTCCGCCAGCAGCGCCCAGCCCCAGGGACCCGGCCACCGCCCGGGCGGCTCCCGGCCCGGCCCCCTACACGCCCGAGCGGCCGCGCCCGCCCCAGGCGGGGGTCGAGGTGGCCCTCCCCGTGCCGGCGCGCCCCCCGCCTCCCTCCCCACCCCGCGCCTCTTCCAGGAAGGATTCCGGCCTCCGGGACGGGCCTGTGGGCAGGGTCCTCAGGGTGCACCGACGGCCCGTTCGCCTTCGCGGGCAACCACGGCGGGGGTTCAGGTTATTGACCCCGCGTCCGCACCGGGCTGTGCGCTCCTCCCGCGCCCCCGCGTCCCCGCGAAGGCATCAGGGCCTACTTTCTCCCCATCTTACTAACGAAGCAACTGAGGCTTTCAGACTTTTCCCAAGTTATGTTCTAAGTGAGGGGCCTCAAACCCAGGCTTTCCACACCAGCGTCATCCCGTGGGATGACAAAATAAGGGGCCAGCTGCTCGCCTGCGCGTCCTGAGCCAGGCCTGGTGCTAAAGGGATCGCTCCTTTGAGTTGGCAGTATTTTCTGCCTGTTACAGGTGGGTCCGCTGAGGCCCTGCTGCAACTCACGAAGTCAAGTAAGCCAGGGCAGCCCCGGAAGATGGCCAGGGGTAGCCCGGCGACTTTTCTCAGTTCACTCCCCACCCCCAAGTATTCCTATAGTGCTTCTGTTGTTCAGCAACTAAGATGGGCCCTTCGGAGAAAGAGCAGAGGGGAGGCCCAACTCGCTTATGGCCCAAACCCTAGGAGACCGGGGTTTTATCGGAAGACAGCATGAGGCCACTCTCTTAACCCAAAAGTCTGGGGGGACCAGAGGTGTAAGGGGAGGGAAGCTGTAATTAGTGACAAGCACTTTGAGGGCAGTCACTGGGTCTGACCCCTCTTTGTACCTTAACTCCTTGCGTAACGCCACAAACAGATCAATGGGACAGTACTTTCTGAAAAACAGTCATTAAGATGCACAAGCGCCACACACGGCTTGGCCAACCGTGGTCTTCCTTCTCTGGAAGGAAGGGGCTGGGGAAGTTATTTCTTCTGAGGAGGTCAAGGGTGGAACTTTTGTTTCAGACCTAACTGGACTTCTGGAAGACTGCAGGCCTTCCAGACAGACACCTGAAGATCTGGCTCTTCATTACTTCTCCATGGGAAGGGGGGAAAGAAAATCTTCAGGAGTCAAAAAAACTTAAAAGGCAGCCTTACCTGTTTGTACAGTCTTGAAATGTCAGTATATGCATTTTCTTACTCAGTTTGAGTAAGGTGTCACCACTCCCTTCAGCTGTGAGCAGCTAGAGGGCAAATACTGGATTTGAGTTTCTGTTCTGAACACACACACTTTGAATTTACGTGGTTTGAACAGTAACATCCGTTCTTATTTCATTGGAAAAATCCTCTTGAATCCGTTCCAACCATATCTTGAACCCTGCCAGATGCAAGCAAAAAGGTAAATTAAGTGTGGATGGAGAAATAGCAATTTGTGTGATTGCTGTGTTTTTTCACATTGCCTCTAAAAGAGTTGTGTTTCTGAAACGGAAGGAAGTGGAGGGCAAGTCTCTAAGGGTTACTTCCTGGAAAAGGAAGAGATGAGTGTTTAGACCTGGGGGAGGTCTTGAGATCCTTTGTTGTCCACTTGCCCAGTCCCCGTATTTCACGGAGGGGCAATGTGGAACTGGTACCCAGAGGAGAGATGGAACAGGACCCTTGACCTTCAACACCAGCTGGAGGCAGAGGTGAGCCTCAAGCCCAGGTCAGAGGCTCCCTCCACACCCTGGGACCTGAATCACTCCACCTCTTGGTCAGCTATTTCAAGATGCCACGAAAACTGTACATAGGACTATTTATCTCATTTTAGATTAATTAATTCTCAAGTAGTACTCTGGAACAGACGTGCTTCACTACTTCTCTGGAAGCAATTCTTATGAAGTAGGAGGCCTCGACTCCCCTGGACCCAGGCTGTATTAAGACCCATACCACAGGCCATCAGTTCTGCTGCAATTCAGCAGGGCGACTCACTCAAAAGCAAACTAATCATTCTTGTTTACTTTCACAGGTTTTGTGTGTGTGTGTGTGTGTGTGTGTGTGTGTGTGTGTGTTTTAAAGACAATGTCTTGAACTCTTTTTCGTCTCACTACCATCTTGGTCCTAGAAGATGACATTCCTTCGAATGAGCAACTAGTAGCTTAATTTTTGGAGTCTGATTCCAGCCCATCAGAGCTGAAAGAAGGAAGAGGGAGGAAGGGTTGAAGTCTGTCCATTCATATGGACACAACTGTAAATTTCTCAGTAGTGCTCCCTCCAAGCCCCTGCTATAAAGCACCGTGAGCTATACACTGTACCAATTTGTAATCCTTACACTAATTTGCATGAGGGGCTCTTTTTCTTCTTCCTATTTACTTTTCCTTCTTCCAGAACTGGCTGGGCTTGATAATTAACTTAATGAGGTGGCGGTTACTACTTGTTCCTTTTATTGTTTAGAAAAGATGGAATCAGTGAGCTCCTACAAATAAACAAAGGAAACACATATACAAAGAACACCAGTGTTGGTGAGATCTTTATGCCATAGGTTCTCCAACACACTTTAGGGGGGCTTATCACAGTTTAGGGGATCTAGCTTGGAGACAAGCTCCCCAGGATGGCCATTCCCAAAGAATGCAGCTACATTGCCCCCTAGTGGCTATAATGAATAACAAAAGACCTTATTGTTGAAACACCCTGACCCCCTGAACCAAAAATAAGTTCAGGAGTTCCCTTGAGTCAAGAAGCCCTTAGAGAAAGTCCTCTAAAGGATCCAAACACTCTTCCTAAGCAGAGGTACTCCCAAGAGAAGCAAGATGTGATCCCTGTGTTCAAGAAACTCACAGTCAAGTGAGGGAGACAAACTGCCTCCCACCTCCAAACCAATCACTTCAGTACAATCCTTGACGGGGCAGGTAAAAATCTAATCTAATCGTTAATCTTCGATGCACAGCTGAAGGGTTCTATTGTGGTGTGGGTAGGCTGATAGGAGTTCCAAAAAACACTCTCATTAAGCATCTTCAGCAATTTCCAGTTGGGGATTCTGTATGGTACATTTAAAAATTCCGTGCCCTTAAGCAATGTGAAAGGCGATCCTTTCAAGATTTCTGCATGCCCATTCCATCCTCGGTCTGTTGCCTGCACCTGAGTCAACAGTACAACTTCAGAGACACTTATCTTTCCAAAGTATCCATTGTTCTCATAAAAAACACTACTCTTTTGTCCACCAGTATGCTCTTCATTTAAGTCCCGTGAAAGTAAATTACTTCACTTACAGGTACAATTGGCAGAAACAGATTTGGGGTCAGACACTATGGAGCTCAGGAAACATCTAGATTAGGGGGTGGGAATGCAGGAGGGTGTGGGCATCTCAGTGCATCCTACGATCAGAGAACATTCCTTTGGCTATGGGTATCCATCAATCTCTTTTCTAGAAGAAATGGAGGGCATGGATTAGACAGGCCATTCCGTTAAAAGACAGGATGTTGTGGGAGCACAGAGGAGGGACATCCAGTTCAACTTTGGAAGACAGATGTCAGATTTTCTCGGGGAACAAAACACATGAGCTGAGACTTGAAAGAAGGGTAGGGTTTGGCCCACCCTCCCCTCTCCTCCCCATCATGGGGGTGTGTGTGTGTGTAAATGTGAAAGTGGAAAGGCACAGAGCTGCATGAAATCACATGGTAGGTTCAGAAAATTTTAAGTATCTGTATGGCCGAGTCCGGGAGATAAAACAGAAGAAGGGGAGAAGGTGGTAGGAGAGGATGTGTGCCCTGTGTGATCCTGCAGCAATGTGATTTTGCACATTCTCTTCTTCATGCTCATCCCAGTGCATGGCTTTCCATCTGTTCATTAGTCCTTACAGGACACTCCCCGCATCCAAAGATGAAAAGTCACTGTCCCGAGGGCCCCTGGTCTGGTGAGGGAGAGGGAGATGTACACAAATAATTCTAAGGCAACGTGATAAGTGCTGGAATAAAGGCCTATTCGAAGTAATAGGGAGAGGACCTCAAAGAAGGCAATGACTGCTGGACTATGAACAGATACTAATGGGCGTGATGATTTAACTTGAGTTTCAAGGATAAGCCAGATAGACGGGGGATCTGTCACCAGACTGATGTTCCTGCTGCCCCACCACTCCCTGGCCTTCCTAGCGTGCCCCAACCTTCTGTAAAGACCCAGACAGAGCAGAGCAATGCTGACTCCCACCCGATGCCTGCCCACGGAGGAGAAGGCCACACTCCCAGGCAAAAGTGATGCTTTGCCACCATTTCTTGGGTGGAACCCGGTCCACAGTTCTTGTTGAGTCGTTGTATTGGTTTGAAGAGAAGAATATTTATGAGTACACACGCACATTATGCAAAATAGAAACATTTAGGGTAGTTAGTGAAATTCACTCCAAAATTCAATAAACCTCAGTGAAAACAAGTTATATTTGGTCACTGGCTGAGTTTTCAGCCTTCAGCCATTTATTTTAAAAGATGTTCAGCAAGGTGGAAGATAATGTAATCCCTGTTGCTTAGAGGCTTTAAATTATTAGAGCAATTTCTAACTAAACTTAAATTATTTAACTATTAACTATCTAGTTAACAAATTGTATCCCTTAAACTTCAAATTATTAAAAAAATGTCCAACTAAACTGAGTGAAACTTTTTTTAAAGATTTTGTTTATTTGAGAGAGAGAAAGAGAGGAGTTAGGGTGGGGGGGAGAGGCAGAGGGAGAAGCAGACTCCCTGCTGAGCAAGGAACTTGATGTGGGGCTCGATCCCAGGACCCTGAGATCATGACCTAAAGCCAAAGACAGACGCTTAACCTACTGAGCCACCCAGGCGCCCCTAACCTGAGTGAAGTTTGAAGACATATTTT